CGCCCCCGCCCAGCTCACCCCCGTCTCGCGCGCAAACCCCGCCCCCGGCTCGCGCGCCCCGCCCCAGCTCGCAACCCCCTGGGCACACCCCTGGGGACCAAGGTCCGCCCTGCCTGAGTGCGCGCGCCAGGGGCCCCGAGGGCAGTGGCTGGGCCGCCGAGGTGGAGTGTGGCTGCCAGGGGTCTCCTCCCTCTAGGACACAGTCCTGTCACCCTTGAATAGGCCTGGCAAGGTTTTGGAAAGAAGCGAAGTCCCTGCGGGCTGAGGCTTGTTCCAGAGGGCGGTGACTGGCCGTGAACCCATTGCTCTGCCTCGCGGCGTCGTGTGCTTCTAGGTTCTTCAAGGTCCCTTCGATCTCTGCGCCCGGTGGGGCCATGCACTCTCCCCACGTGTGACAGCAAGGACAGCCAAAGGATGAGGAGGCAGACCGCGGACGGAAGGCTCCCTGAGCCTCACCTCTCACTTAGATGTGGAGCTTTCATGCCTGGATCTTCCCGCCCTGGCCCTGCCCCGCGCTCCCCTACAATTGGCCCACACTGAAGCCCACCCTCCAGCTGGTGACTTTGAGATGTCCTTCACCTCTGCTGAATTCCCCTTCCACCCCCCACTACCTCTTACCCACCATGTTTTTTTTTTCACAACACGGCTCAGATCCCATCTTATTCGTGCAGTTATTCGAAAACCATTTATTGAACTTGTAAGTTGTACCAGACCCCGAGCAGGAGAGCCAGTACACAGAGGGTTGCAAGAAAATTCTGCCTGGTGTCTAGAGAGAGAGAGAATCAATTACGCCAGCAGGATGCAAAGTGCTGAGTGCAGACGGTGAGGCTACAAGTTAGTTAAGGAGGTAAAGGAAATGAACTTACCCGTGACTGGAGGTGAAGGGAGGGGGTTCAGGGAAATAGACAACACCTAAGGCGAGTCCCAGACACTTTTCCAGATCTCAGCAAATGTGCACATCTGATTGACTGAATCGTGCAACACCAGACCACACCTGTTGGAACCAGAACTTGCCAGTAAAGCAGAAAAGCCGCCCTTGCTCTTCATTGCAATGGTAACACACCATTGGACAGGATCGCCAAGGGTCTTTGGACTCCAGTAACTTTGACTTACTATTTAAAGTGAGAGCATTTTATTACTCTTAAAGGGCAGAATTTAACTTGCAGAATACGAAGCCCAGGCTGTGTTGTGTAACAGAGATGCAAAGTTTTTTTTTCCCCAGTGATGATGTAAACGATCTTATCCTGTAAAAATGCAAGTGACCTCTGCCACGCTCAGAGCCTTAACCAGTTTTCTGTCTGATTCATCAATTTCACCCCAAGAGTTTTCTGTTTCTCCTCTTTGTCACTTGCTCTGTATACACACTTGCTTGCATTCTCCCTTGAAGTAGCTTTGCTGGTTCCTCATTAATGGGTTGTTGCCCTGAAACAAATAAGTAATTTCTCCAGCAAAGATGGGTTCATTCAGACACAGCAGAGAATTGCAATTTGAGGTGTGTGGCCATGGCATGCCACATGCATGCCCCACAGTGGAAAGAGGGAGTACCCTTTTATAGAGGAGGACGTTGGGGTGGCTAAAGTAAACAGAGTCCATGACTTTCCTTTGCCTGGGTCCTCCCTGAGCAAGAAGAGAAATCTTGCTTCTTTCCTATTGGGTTCTGCTATCATCATAGGTTATGAGAGCTCCCCCTTCTGGTCTCTCAACTATTTAACTGAGATTTCTTTTCATTAATTTTTTGCATTTACCCCTTTTGATCAAGATCTTCCTGTGAAAGCGTCACTGATGGCTTTTCTAGTGTCAACAGCTTTTTATCCCTTAATGTTGGGAAGAATCTTTCCTGGGTGCAGTGTCTTATGTCAGAGGGAAAATGCACAGGTTGGAAAACTATTAAAGCCACAGCTGAGTAACAAAGAGGGGTTAGGAAAGAGAACTCAGGCATTTTTTCATCTGAAGTTCATATGTTGTCAAGACCATAGACTCTGGAGATCATCTGAAGTGTTACGTCATTGTCGAAGGTTTGGCGACAGACTTCCAGCTAAGCCTGATCCGGATATCCTGGGAAAGCTGTTTCATCACATGTCATCGGCTTCAGTTCCGGTAAGTCTCTTCTTTCTGGTCACCAGATGGTGTGAAGATCTAGTCAGGGTTTGGTGCTTTTTAAAGATGTGCCATGCGAATCACGAGTCTTTTCCTTGGAGTTTGGCAGCCCCAGACTTGGTTATCAGAACCTGATGGGGGGGGCGCTCCAGTGAGGCTGAAGAGAGTTCTGGAGGAATCCCTTCCAATGGACAAAAACTCCACGTTGAAAAGTGTAATACTTCAGGTCTTTGAATCCCACACTGTGGGAGCACACTGTGAAAAGATTGCTCTGCCAAAAGATGGTTATTTTTTGACAAATGCTGGAGAGGCTGTGGAGAAAGGGTATCCCACTACACTGCTGGTGGGAATGCAGTTTGGTGCAGCCACTGTGGAAAACAGTGTGGAGATTCCTCAAAAGACTAGGAATAGACTTACCGGTATGGAACCCCCAGGAAATCCCCAACTCCTGGGCTTGTATCCAGAAGGAACCCTACTTCAGGATGACACCTGCACCCCAATGTTCATAGCAGCACTATTTACAACAGCCAAGACATGGAAACAGCCTAAATGTCCATCAACAGGTGACTGGATAAAGAAGAAGTGGTATATTTATACAATGGAATACTACTCAGCCATGAAAACTGACAACATAATGCCATTTGGAGCAACGTGGATGCTCCTGGAGAATGTCATTCTAAGTGAAGTAAGCCAGAAAGAGAAAGAAAAATACCATATGAGAGCGCTCATATGTGGAGTCTAAAAAACAAAAACAAAAACAAACAAACAAACAAACAAAAACAAAGCGTAAATACAGGACAGAAATAGACTCATAGACAGAGAATACAGACTTGTGGTTACCGGGGGGCAGAGGGTGGGAAGGGATAGACTGGGATTTCAAAACTGTAGAATAGATAAACAAGATTATACTGTATAGCACAGGGAAATACACACAAAATATTATGATAACTCAGAGAGAAAAAAATGTGACAATGAGTGTGTATATGTCCATGAATGACTGAAAAATTGTGCTGAACACTGGAATTTGACACAACATTGTAAAATGATTATAAATCAATAAAAAGTGTTAAAGAAAAAGATGGTTATTTTTAATGGAAGCAGTTAGGGTTTTGCAATATTGAGGTATCTCTCTCTCTCTCTTCTTTTTTTTTTAATCAGTTGTGGGTGAAAAGAGGCAGGAGCCAAGTGCATTGGACGCCCTGTGACCATCTCGAAAGGTGAGAGTTTATGAGTTCCCAAAAAGGTGGACCTGGGACTTAGAAGGACCAACAGCAATGCTTGTGACAGACCTCGCCAGCTGAGTCTTAACGGTGCCATTAGTAGGTTCCACGAAACCAGAGGACCGAGGTGATAAGAACAGTGAAGGCGTTTTAAAACCGACCACACGGTGCACAGTTGTCAAAACACCTGGCCAGTAACGTGGGTTCCTCCATCACCGTGAAGTTCAAGATGACTTCCCCAGCTTCCAGACAGTCAAGTTTGTTCGTTTGCTTGTTTATGTGAGTCTGTTTCTGTTTTATAAGTTCATGTGTACGATTTTTTTTTAGATTCCACATGTAAGTGATATGATACAATATCCCTGCAATTATTTCTCAGAGATTTTTTCCTCTAGCGTAAAGAACAATTTTCAAACAGCTCAATTCAAAAGGCTGCAAGCCTGTCCCAGCCAGTCTTAAGGAGACCGGTGGGTCCTGGAGGAGCCAGGCCAAAGGCTTTTTTTAAAAAGCCAGTCTTCAGAAGACAGCCTTTCCAAAGCAACAGGCTAAAGGTTGAAAAACTTGGCACCGTTTCAGAGAAACAGCCTCTGTTCCTGAAGGGATGAGTCAAAGGTTAACCACCTGTTCCAAAGGGAATAAACCAAGGGCAATTTCAGCCAGTTTCAGCGAAACAGTCTGATAAAAAAAAAAAAAAATCAGACCAAAGTGCCAAATGAGTGCTCACAGTCAGAACAAGTCCTTTACTAGAAATATAAACCTTTAAATAGGTCCCAAATAAAGCCTGGGGAGCTTCACATGTAAGGAGGATGTGAGCTGGAATCCAGGAGAAATACACTTTCAAACTCCGGGGTTGTGGAGAAGAGCAGTGAGCTGTCACCTACTGGGTTCAGCTGTGTTAGCAGCCCTGGCCCCTCAATCATCATTATCTGAAAGACTTGGCAGTTTCCTGTCTCCGGGTTACTGAAGGACTCAGAACTTGCAACATAATTTCGCCTTTAACTACAGATGTTTCTTGAGTTGAGTGTTTCCCAATCTTAAGCATTATTTGGACCCTTTTAAAAAGGAAAGTTCTCCTCAGGAATTCGCGTCTGTGCAGGGCTTGTGATGGTCTGAGTTGCCCATCATACCAGTTCTCCTTTTCTCCCATAAAAACAGTCCCCCAGGGTTTAGAATAATGAGGATTACAGTTTTCAGCATCCCTTGCACAAGGTGTTTGCAGTTGACTCCGCATATTAGTTTGCTCAGGCTGCCATAAGAAATGCCAGACTGGGTGCCTTAAAGAATAAACATTTATTTCCTCATAGTTCCAAGGACTAGAAGTTCAAGATCAAGGCGCCAACCGGGTTGGTTACCTCTGAGGCTTCGCTCCTGGCTTTCAGG